ATTATCTTTCTTCATATTTCTGCCTCTTGTCTTTGCACTCAGTAGTCCCATGTGCCCCAAACCTCAGCACCCCACCACTCTAACCTCAGGCCCCATGGCCCTCTATTTTCAATTCTCAGCCCCCAGCCCCACCATGAGACTGCTCTGCCCTAACCCTCAGACCCTAACCCCAGGGAAGTGGCTTTGGTGGAAAGCCACACAAAAGCCCAGTAGTATTTACACACTCTGCTTTCTCACAGAACATTCACAGACTGTTACATGTGGAATTGAGACAACAACAGGAATTTTCCCCCTGTTCATTTTTTTGGGGGGGGGGGTTCTTCCCATATTTGAACGATTCTCTTCTTGTCTTTGTAGCCGGAAAGAAAACGATTCAGAGATCACGTTACTGGTTCTTAGGCTCTGGTCATGTGTACAGAAATATATTGGTGATTTCAGAACTGATAAGTGTTTCATTATGTTCATTTTACAGGTTTCATTATCACCTCAAAGGTGTCTTGTTTCATGAGTGTTTCTTTTAAATGGGTGTCATTATTTACAATCTGTTTTCCAGACATTTTATTGTTACCTTGTTATTTATATGTAAGCCGTTGTGCAGTGCAGATCCGGGTTAGGCTCTGCGAAAGCTAGGTCATTGTATCTGGGTGGATTATGGAAACTGGATCCTTTGATACTATCGACGATGTTTGAAAAAGCTGTCATCTTGTGCGTTTTAACAAGATATGTTGACTGTTTAAATATCTTTGTCTTTATATTTGTCCGTTTAACTCGGAGACAGTCAGCGAGTGAATATGATTACCGGAGGAAGCTTTTCTGATGTCTGTATCGCATTGCCTTGTGAATCGGAGGAGAAAGACGATACCTTCAAAGAGCGGGCTTAGCAATGGCATCTTAAGATGGCAGCAGGAAGTTTGTAAATCGCAGTGTCACATTGGAAAGGGAGCACAGATAGTGTTCCACTATAAAACTGGAAATGGATTTAAAGCCACTGCTGCAGCTGTCCCATCTATATTTTGCTCTCTCTACCTCTCTCACACACACATCTATCATCAAGTGTTCTTTTAATGGTGTAAACTTTCCCATCCGTTTTCAATAGCATCAACAACCCCAGGACCCTGAACGTGCTTGGCAGTGAAACTCTGAGATTTTACTGCCAGCCTCTTTTAACCATCAACCATCACTCTCCCCACCCACCCACCCCCAAGCCATTTAAAAGTATACAGCAGGCTGAGGTCCCTCTTTGTTGGGGTACTTGAGGAGTTATTGAGAAGTTGTCTGAACTACATTCATGTGCGTCAAGAATCAAGGAGGAGTGTGCAGAAGAGATCCCATCAGAGCCCTAAGAGCCTTTGGAAAGAACTCAAGTAAAGCTTACCCTTGCACCCAAGCGTTCCCTATCCAGCTCAGAGCCATAGTTTGTGCTGTTTTGAATGTGCTTGAATTCCTGAATGCAGGAGAAACACCCCACTCTCTCTCTCTCTTGGTTAAACCATTATTTTCAATAGCAGGCAATTAGCTCTCCCTTCTTGCATGCAAGGGGACGTATGAGTGGACAGCATCCCTGTATGACTCGCAAGAATTTCTGTGCGGTTCTCAAATTGACTCGGTGTTGTAGGTGGGCCAGACTCCATCATATTGTTTCCTCCAACACACACACACAGTATAGGGATGATACTTACTAACAGGGATGCCTACTCAGCAGCCCACTTAGTTTCCAGGAGGTGCAAACTGGCAACATTTAGCTGTTCAAAAAAGGATTTTAGAATTCAACTAGAATAGAATTAAACTTTATTGTCATTGCACATGACACAGGTACGGCAACGAATTGCCCTGTTTAAAAATTTAAGGGATTGATAAAGTGACGGGCCTCCTGGAGAGGTCAGAGGTCAGATTGGTCCAGCTGGAATACCTGTCAGGCTGTGATGAACCACTCCCCATTTAAGATGTTGTCTCCTCTGATAATATCACTAATTTCCTTCTTCATTGTTACGTCTATAAATACATGCATTGTTGACACACGTATATGTGTTTTGACACCCACAACAAATGCAAACTTCCCAAATAAATGCATTTTTTTAATGTCCTTCCTGTTCCTTCTCCTTTCTTCTTTGTCTTCCCACCTCATCCGCTCATCTCTCTCTTTTTTTCTGCCAGAATGGAAACGCAGAGGCTGAGGAGCTGCTCTACAGCCACTATGTTATCTGTAATGATACGCATGAGACGCTGCGCTTTGGTCAGGTGGACACTGATGAGAACGTGCTCCTGGCCAGCCTCCATAGCCACCAGTACAGCTGGAGATCCCACAAATCCCCTCAGGTAACATACACACACCCGAGCAAGCATACATAGCCCATACTTAATGAAATGTCTGATGACCGACAGACTTGTTTTAGTTGATTTTGAATAGAGCCATGCACACATGCATGCTCCTGCACACAAATCTTTTGGATATCAGCGGTCGTCATAAAAGACAGGAACACATGATTAAGATATTTACTTTGGAACGCAGAGCGTTAACGTTGTGCAGAATTATGGAAACAGTGAGCACACACACACACTCTGAACCTTATATAAATGGACACCTGAATACACACATACTGCATACATACATACAGTACATATGTGTAAAAAGAATGGCTCACACACAATTTCTGTGCAAAAGCTGTAAGAGGTGTGTATACACACACACACCAGACACATCATTGTGCAGCGGGTATCTGTGTGTCAGTGTTCTCAGACAGTGCCCTGACAGCATTGTTAAAGAAGATTGATTATATTTAACCCTTTGTGGTTTTGAGGTTGAGTGGAGGGTGGGCTGGCGATCTGTGGCATATGTGTGTGTTTGGTGCACACATGTTTCAGGACCCCCATGCGCTCCACAGCGAGTGTGAGAAAGTCAAGCTTGAGAAAAGACATGGCCATAATTGCTCGCAGTAAGTCAGTAAGTCAAGTTGTATTAATCATCGACCATGGTTAATCTGTGCTCTTACCTCACTCTTGCTTACAGACGCACGCACACACACGCAGTGCGTGAGTGGCAATCTGGCATATCAGCACAGTGAACACCACATTTAATTCCTGCAGTGAGTCAAAATGACCTCGGTATTTTCAAGGATATTTTGGATGAAGAATTGTCCGAATGGGCCAAATGTCATCATAGATGAAGAATGCGATTCCAAGATAGTTCTGTCATGTGTTATTCCATCATGTGTTTGTGGTATATGAAATATGTGTTCTCAAGATGAACATGATTTGTGAAACTAGATAAATAAGAAATAGTGCAGCTTTGCCAAAAACACTCAGCTAACTTTGAGCTTGACGATAAAAAGCTTGCCAATGTGTCCGCCTCAGCAAATTGTAGCAAACACTCCTAATTACATTTTGGGGTTATAATAATAGTGACACTGATAAGGAAAAGGGTTGTATTTCTTTTTTTTTTTTCACTATTACAAATCAGTTTCCAGGCTGAGATGTAAGTGGTTTAAGTCCCACGATGCCGTGGAGCGTCTAAAACGACTCTGACCATCACAAACCATCATCTTCTAGTTTTCCTCTATCTGTCAGTCTGCTCGTGACTTCAACTCAGGATCTTCTGTCCTCTTGTCTGCGTATCCCATTTAACTGTGTCCAGTTTTACTGTTATAGGATTAGTATACATATACAATGTGGAAATTGTTTAGCTATAACATCCTACCACCAAATCCTCTCTCATTCATCCCCTAACCCTCCCCCACGCTGACGAATACTCTAACCCTGCTCAGCATTGAGGCACAGCGTATCACTTTGATTTAACTTTAAATAACCACGCTATACATCAGTTCCACTCCACTTTTTCATGCGCTGTCATCACCATGTTCTGTTGCTGTAACTTTTCAAATTATATCCATTAGCACTTTGCAGCTTTGGAGCCACGGTACAATTACCTCACTCATACTGGTTATACTTTAATGCTATGCATAGTTCTGTGTCTCTTCTTTCCATGCTCTGCAAGGACCCACCAAACACAACCCAAAATCCATTCCAGGCCTCACACCCTGAGCCATAGGTTAGCAATCATTCCCTTGTTGCTGGCTCAGTCCTGGTCTCTATAGTCCTATATGAGATCAGTATACCTGCACAGTCTCTGGCTCCTACACCGTTTGTAGGTCTCACTTAGACATTGTGCCGTTCTCATCCCAAATGCACAACTAGTACTTGTCCCTTTCCTTTTCTCCTGAAGTTGAACATCTGTTCTGATGTTCACATCCATACTGGCTAAGCTCGTTGGTCCTGGTGCTGACTCCCTGTCTGTCCTGTGACTGGCCAGAAGGCAACTTTGTCCTTTTAGTTTCCATCTCATCCCAGTAGGTGTTGCCAATATGGTTGATTCTGGAAGGGAACTACTCATGAAGGCTTGGCACTTTTCAGTTTTGCGGCTGTTCCACTTCCTTTCTATTTGGTCCATACAGTTGCTTTTGTGTTCCACTCAGTTTGCTGACATTATCCATGGTCACATCTTTCTGTCTAGTTTGACTCTGTCCAGTCTCCTACCAATATCATTGCGCGCCCTTACTTAGTTTTACAATCCAGTGTATCAACCCTCAAACTACTATCCCAGTTTTTATGTATCTGTACATGCAGTATTGTCTTTCCTGGGAGGCCAGGGGAATGTCGGTGAGCAAGGCCATTGACCTGCCCTCATGGTTTTGGTATGATGTGTGTGTCCCAGTTGAATTGTCCCCCAGGCAATCACACACTCATAAGCCACAGCTTCTAATATGCTTTTGTAAAGTAATCTATGCCTGTTCCTCTCTCGAGCTCCCCTGAGAACACACGAGACATGACGTCTTCTTGAAAAGAGGAGGATAGGTAGAGAAAAAGATTGTGGAAGTGATCACCTGGAAAAAATGAAAAATTCAAAAAGAGAGTAGCACAGAGTTGTCAGAGGGGATATTCCACAGCACTACTTGAGAAAAACAAGAGGACATGGAAAAATGGAAGCAGGGGCAAAAGATGAGCCATGCTCTCAACACTCCTCTACAATGGCAGCACCGCCAAAAACATGTCTGCTCACTATCTGTTCTGTTCCTCCCACCTTTCCCATTTCTCTTTTGCTTTTCTGTCTGTTGATGATGCACAAGCAACCCTATTTATCACGAGTACATTGCTGCACCTGAAGTCTTCCCTTCCTGTCTCCAGTTCATACATATAGAAAGAGTCAGAGATGGAATAAGGCCATTTATATGATTAGACAGGCTGTTGTTTCAGCTTGAACTCAGACAGCGAGGCATATTTAAAGTGCTGCAATCTCCTTTATATTGTTCCTGTACGAACGAGAGGTGTTTAATGTGTGTAATCTTGAGCCATCTAACCAATGTACACTTCATACGGTGTTGTCATACCTTCGAGTATCTCGCTTTTCTCCGAAGAGCACTAAAGTAGTGTGTTTTCGTAGTGAAACATGAACCTAAGCTCAGGTCACACTCCCTCTCACTGCTCCTCTGTTTCTCTCCCTTCCACTTTCTCTACCACCCCATCTCTCCTGTCATTCATAACCATGAGACTTATTAAAAGGGTCGATTGAGGCAGTCACGTCCTTAGAGCTCGCTCTCGCCTAACACTTGAGCAAATTCATACCCGTGTGTGGACACTCAGACTCACACATACATACACACTGTAATAAAATGTTTCCTAAGGCCTGGAGTCTGTCAGGCCTCTCAGTATAGTCTCTCCCTTTCAAGCTTAGCATGCCTTCACACCCCAGCATTTCCCGGCCAATGCGAAAATGTTTATAAACACATAATTTCCCTAATTTTTATATGCAGTGTACCATTATGTTCTGCGTGTCACGTAATAGAGAGAGAAGCGGATAAAGGAACACATACAGTTAAATTAATACATCTGTTAAAAACCTTCAGGATGGTCATGCATACAACTACACGATCTTTCTCTAATTACGTGCAGTTTATATTTCGCACAAACACACTCACCATCCCCACCCTGCTGTTTTTCAAGGCTCTGGCGTGTGGTGTGGATGGTTGAAATATCTGGCTGCTCGTTACAGGATACAGCCTGGCTGATGGAAATCCCTGTGGTTAGTGTGGTTAGCAGGGAGAGGGGCGTAAAAAGCCCCCTGGATTTGAGAAGGACTTTTTAAGTGCCTACAAGGAATATTCCCTATTTGAATAAATTGTGATTTACTCCACGAGCAGGCTTCTACAGTAGAGTGTCTCTGAATGCATGTCTTTGCGTGTTAGTGTGTCTGTGTATGTCTGTGATGTATGGTGTTGCTCCATGTGTTAGTGTTTGTGTGGGAGTGTCAGTGTTGTGTTGGCCGTGCGTGCGTGCGGTTCCCAGGGGTAATGTGCGGAAGATAGCAGCCCAGGACTATTAGTTTGCGGTGAGATTGGCTGTGTTTTTGGAAGCAGGCATGACAGGGTGGTATTTTGGGTGAGAGTGTGTGTGAAAGAGAGGCAGAGGAGAGCGAGAGAGCAGTGTTACATCAGTGGAAGCTGTGTGTGAACATGTATATATGAATAGTTGTCCGTGTGTGAACCCTGTTGCTCATGTGTCGCAGTTTTGTGCAAGTGTTTTAAGTTTTCAGAAGGGTTCATTGTTTGCTGCTCGTCATTCAAAAGAAACAAATCTCGTCCTTAAAATGTGTCTGGTGTTTTGCTGGAATCTATCAAGACTCAATGATTAAGAAACACTGCCCTCAAGTGAAGTGGTTTAGTCATGCTGTTCATCCAACATTGCCACTTTAACTGCAGTTGACCCTGAGGGGTTATCTCAGCT